TTGAGTTCAGCGAATTTACATTGCGAAGCTTGTTCACATGTACGTTCTTTAGCAAGGGCCTGTTGGTATTGGAGGTTTTTGATATGTGTGAGATTGTTAACCAACTTAAGGTACGCAAAAGCTTCGTTTCGAATACTTTCTAGGCTATTTTTTTCCTGCTCAACAGCCTTGACTCTTGAAAGTTTCTCAAGACGAAGATCGGACAGCTTTTCTATTCTATTTGCCAAGATTTCTAGGGGCTTCTTAAATCTGTTGCATCCAATTATATCCTGAAATAATTTTCAAACATATTTAGGGCACTTTACCTCAAGATATTCAAGAAAGCCATCTTCATGTTCGGAAATAGCCTTGGGTTTCATAAGAGATATTTGTTCTACTTCACCTTGCAAGATAAGAAAGCGATTGTGATCTAAATCGATTCCGTTCCGTCGGAGGAGTGTTGTGACTTCTTTAAAATTGGCTCGGCAATCATTAATAAAATACTGGCTTGAATTATCTTGAAATGCTTTGCGGGATACAACAAAGTCATTTTCAGACACAACCTAGAAAACAGATGAGGGGCACGGATGAATAACGATTAAGGAGAAAAAACCATAAATATTACAAAAGCTCACCTCAAAATCATCATCCATAGGCCCAGTATCAATAATTTTTTGAAAATGAACCTCCACACAACAGCAGGGAACGTCAGGCAACACATCGCTCTTATGTATAAGGAGGCTTAATTTTTTTGATCGAACCTTGGAAGAGCGGTATCCAAAAACGAAAAGGAGTGAATCAATCACATTGCTCTTACCACTACCATTTGGGCCTATATTTACATAAATCATTATTTAAACGTACCTATAACGCAATTAAACTTTTTGCAGAATGGACCAAGGACTCGCATGCCACCATACGACTTAAAATTCTCGATAACAATTTTTGATATCACCAAGCGTGGACCATTAGCATCACGCAACTGTACTAACTCTGGGGGTGGTGGTATTTCTACAGCTTGACAATTGTTTAGGAAATCGTCATCGATATCGACAGGGCAAAATGAGCCAACAGACATGACGGGAAAGAGGGGCAGGGAAATCCGGCGCGTAACAATTAGTTTGAATTCAATACCACAAGTATAAGCAAAATTCAAACGTTTTCTTTTAATACTAGCACAATTAGTGCAATATGTTTTAGCGAATTTAAGTTGCTTTACTTTAAGTATTTACGCCTCTACTTTTAGTCAAGTTTTTTGGTTATCGTGATCTACATCATATCGTATTCCTAATTTGA